AGTGAGGCGGAAATATCGATTACTTTTGAGCTTACGCGCCTATGGAGCGGCGAGTGGGTCTATAACGCGGGAAAGGCCGATAACACCCGGAGTAGATGACTAGGCATGGATGCACGGCTTGGAAGAGCGAAACCAGTCAGCGCGGCAGGTTCCCACAGGATCATTACATTGACAAAACAGACAATGTAGTACAAGAAAGGCAATACCGAAGGACATGAAAGCCAGAGAGATCACGCTGGCAGTCCACGCAGATGGGCTTACCTTTAACGCGATTGGCAGAGGCCGCCTGCATACAGACCTCGTACTGAAGACGCTTCAGGAGGGTTCCGGCGACATCAGCACACTCAATAGCGTAGGCAAAATTCCCAGAACTGTACTCAAGCACGTAGTAGGCGTACGCGATGTCCTCTAGGGCGAGAGCCGCCATGATGCTGGCACCCGGAAGGCAGTCCAGAATGATTGCCAAACCCAACTGTTGGAGGGAGGCAAACAGACGAGTAATAAAAACATGTCTACTCACAAAGTAACAGTAGAGAGGTTGCGAGCGATTAGATTCACCCATAGTAAATTACACAGCAAAGTAAATGCACGCGTGACAGTCAGGAAATAAGGGACGTGACATGACGCGTGATGCCGGAACCAAACAAAAATGCTCGCACTTGAAAATAGAAGTTTTATTTTTAGCCTTAGCGAGTCAACTGGGAAATGAAAAAACAACACAAGTATTTTTTTAGGAAACAAGACGTTTTGTGGAATTTTAAAAGTACGACTTGAAAAGCTGTGCATTTTTTCGGCTTAAAGTTAATTAATAATGCCTGCATTTAGTACTTGCCTCTAAATTGCCAATAGTGTCCTACCACTTGCGAATAAACGAAAAGCAACCATGAAAAGCACCATTACCAAACGGCTATTTCAAATGTTGAAAATATGGTAGGATCAGGGAAGGCGAGTGAAATCCTACTTGTTTGAACCAAGTCCACCTTAGACGGTAAAAAAAAAACAAGATATAAAGATGTCGCGTAATATAGTCCTATGCACGGTCATATATTACGCATTTACCTTTATGAAACCCCTTTAAGTGGCTGACTGAAAGATTTTGAATGATAACGTATTCGAAAAATACTTTTTTTAAATTAACTGGGGTAATACCGCTTCAGTTAGTCAGCTATTTTCATGGAAAGATTTTTTTAGCTTTCAGCATATCTTAACATGTTTTCCACTTGAGTGAAATTTAAAAAAAAATATGCCGAAAACGATCCAAAACAAAGAGAAAGGTGAGTTCTTTTAATTTCAATAGAAATTCTACCATTGATGTTCGGGAACGTCAAAAGACCAGTCAACGATCCCCATTTCAACCTTGACGTTACCTTAAAAAAACAAATTACGCAGATATTTGTCGGGGAAATAACTAATTAAAGGGGCTGTTTAAAGGAACAACTTATTTTAGAAAGTTTTGAACTTAAACGTAGTCATATTACTTACCCCAATTTGTTGTGGACGCCTTTTTTCTCCACAATACGTTTGCATGCTTGCGTGAGACTACAACTATGACGTCAATGAAAATCGCCAAAAACTAACAATTTCGGTGGACACACTAATGAAATACCTTCTCATTTTGGAAATCTGGATAAGTGCACAAAAAAAAATCTACATGCTTGACCAGCCGAAGACAAGCAGTGAAAATTGCGAATCATCCGCCGGAATTTCAAGGACGAGCTGAGTTTATTTGATGAGGGTAATGGGCAATGCCTGAAGGTGACTGCAATTCAATACGAGAAATATACATGGAGAAAGTTAACGAAAGGAAATTTCCTAAAATATACACAGAGTGGTACGGTTACGATTTCACCAGCCCAATTGGCAGGACTGCGTTTTGGGGCCTCAAAAATACCGTAGACTCATAATGAAAAATTAATTTCTACTGTTTAGTAGCCCGACTTTCCGTTTTTTTCGTCGCGCTCGCCTTTGGTCCAGTAGGGATTAGTGATGATATTAAAAATGCCCCTACAGGACCAACGGCGAGCGCGTGTAAGTTGGAGGGGGGTATTCGTTAACCTTGGGCGAGGTCCCAGACGTA